CCAGGATTCAAGGGGTGTCCTCCCCACTGGCATAATCATGCACAATCTTGGTCCCCTTTGAAGAAGTGCTTTGCAGCCCTTAACCTTTTTGTTTTCCATCTTGCTTCAGCTGAATTCCCACCTTCCCCACAGCAGGAACAACCTGGTGGCGTCCGCCCCGGTTCATTGCTCAGGCAACACGCACCCCCCGGGACATCCGCGGCCACCCCTGAGCACCTCCCTTTCCCATAAATACCGGCAAGGATGGCATCTTCGGGAGCTCAACCCCACCCTTGCCATCGGGGGTGCCCGGGGAGCCTGCCCTGCTCTCCTGGCAGCCAGCCCATGCCTCGGGGTGCCCCATCTTGCTCCCTAGGGATCCACAGCAAATTTGGGGCCATCTCTGCAACATGCTGGGGCCAGACGGGCGTTTTGGCCAGAGGCAGCTCTTCCCCAAGAGCATCGAGGGCGACGTTTGGCACGGGCACGCAGCACTCGGGGCTGCTCTTCCCCCCGTGTCGCCGCCGGCGGAGCCGGTCCCAGCTCCGTTCAACCAGAACGAGCAGCAAATGAACCTGACCTAGATCTGGAGAAGCCGGAGGGACTGACGCCGGGTTTGCCTGCCCTCCAAATCCGAGCTCTGGAGGCGACCCGGGGTAAGATGGTGCCTGTTTCTGGGGAGGAGAAGGAGCTGCTCATTTAGAACAGCTTATTTAGAACGGTCCGATCACCAGCTCCCCGTCCCCCTCCGTGCTGCTCTTCACCCTCGGGCTAGGAACTCCTCATGGCATCAGCCGGGTCTCCCCATCAGCCTGAATTCTTCCAGTTCCTGCTAAGCAGCCCCGTGCTCACCCGCAGTGGGGACCCACCGCCCGAAACTGGGGAAACTCCCCACGGCAATCCCTTCTGGGATGGGAAAACATCCCCGGGGGGCTGTTCTTCCAGCTCGGGCACCGGGATCACGGCTCCGGCCCTTGTGCTCCCGACGCTGGTGGGTCCAAGGGCCGCTCAGCTCCTGCCGGATGGGACCCGCTGGCTCCTGGCGCAGCCGGCCCGTTGCCATGGCAATGGCAGGATTCTGCTTCCTTGGAGCCCCCTCGCTGGCACAGAGGCAGGCGCCAGCTCCAGCCCTGCTCTGCATACCAAGCACTCCCGGCTTTCCCCCCTGCTTCACAAGCAGCAGCCTAGAGATGGGGCTCTGCAAGATTGAATTAAGGTTTTGACCTTTAAGGTTGAAGGATTTGACCTTGAAAGGGTGGCTGCACAGAAGATGGAGGCTCCCTTTTTAGGAGTCACGTGGAAAAGGTGAGGAATAAGGGGTGCAAGTTAATCCTGGGGAGATTCTGGTTTGAGACGAGAGGAAACTTTTTCACCACAAGAACAATGAGCCATTGGAATAATCACACCAGGGGACTGGTGGAGTCCCCAACACTGGGCACCTTTAAGATTCAGCTGGACAGGGTATCTTGTCTAGACTGCTCTTCCCAAGGAAGGTTGGACCAGATGTTCTTTGACATCCCTTGGAGCCAGGTGGGGGTCAATCTCTCCTCCAAAGGAAGAAGCAATAGGACAAGAAGAAATGGCCTCAAGTTGCACCAGGAGGGTTTAGGTTGGACCTGAGGAACAATTTCTTCCCTGCCAGGATTGTTCAGGGCTGTCCCAGGCCTGTCCCAGGCCTGTCCCAGGGTAGTGGTGGAGTCCCCATCCCTGGAGGGGTTTCCAAGACACGGAGATGTAGTGCTGAGAGACATGGTTTGGTCGTGACCTGGCAGTGCTGGGGCTGCCATGTGGCAGTGGTTGGACTCCATGATCTTAAAGGTTTCTTCCAACCAAAACGATTCCATGATTCTACAAAAATTGGTAGCATGAACTGGAGTCCTGGCTCTCGTCCACCTGGCAGTCCTGGTAGCCAAGCCATGAGTCTCTTTGCCAGTTTTAGCCAGACAATGAGGCTTGGAAACCCCTGCGGGTGTTATTTCCCCAGCTGTGAGAGCGTGGGACCCAAACTGGTGCCTGGCAACGAGGTCCCATCCTTGACAGTGTCACGGAGGTGCCATATTCTTTGGGGACATCAGCAGCATAGCTCTTCGTTGCTGAAGTTGTTGTTACCTTCTGGGTTTTCATCCCTGGGGGAGCTGTGAGCTGGGTCTTAGTCATGTTTATAGGCACAGGGTCTTCCCCAGTGTGCTGGAGCCTCGTGATGCCCATCTCATGCTGCTTGCCCATGGCTCTGCACCAAGCCTGGACACTTCACTGCCTGCTCAAAGGCTGCTGGGACTTAAAAAAAAAAAAAAAAAAAACCAAGCAAAACACCCAACTTCAGATATTTGCAACAGAGGAACCCAGGAGCTCCTCTTTCTGATTTTTCAGGGGTTGTGTTTTCAAGTTCAGCATGGTCAAAAAAAGATGTAATTGTCTGAAGAGGGAGAAATAAGCATGGCATAGATTTGGATTAATTTTGTAGAATCATGGAATCACAGACTGGTTTGGGTTGGAAGGGACCTTGAGAGGGCATCTAATCCAAGCCCCCTGCACTGAGCAGGGACGTCTGCAGCTAGAGCAGGTTGCTTGTTCTGGACACAACATAGGTCGAAGGCTACAGGCTAAAGCAGAGGTGGTAGCTCCAGATTTCTGGTGTGGCCAACCTCACCTGGAATGGTTCCAGGGATGGGGCATCCACCACCTCTCTGGGCAGCCTGGGCCAGGGGCTCATCACCCTCAGTGTCAAACATTTCTTCCTTCTCTCCAGTCTAAATGTCCTTCTTTGATTTTCAAACCATCCCCCCTTGTCCTGTCCCAACAGGCCCTCCTCAAAAGTCTTTCCCCAGCTTTCTGACAGGCCCCTTGAAGCCCTGCAAAGCCCCCAGAAGGTCTCCCCAGCTGGAGCCTTCTCCTCTGCAGCTGCCCAAGCCCAACTCTCTCCTGCTGGGCTCCCAGCAGAGGGGTTCCCCCCTCGGGTCATTGCTGGGGCTCCTCTGGCCCCACTCCAGCAGGTCCCTGTCTCTGCTGTGCTGAGGACTCCAGAGCTGCCCCAGCACTGGGTAGTTTCGTGTGCCCCTTTAGAACCCGCAGAAGCACAAGGGTTTTTTTCTCCTCTTTTCTCTTTCCTGCCCCATCCCCTCTGCAACCACTGGCAATTTCCACCGAACATTCACGGGAGCCCTCTTGCCTCTGTGCCTGTCTTGATGCCTCAGGGTTTGGTGTTTTCCTCCCATCCCACCCTCTCCAGCCGTGGGTTTGGAAAGCCCTGTGCACGTGCTGACCCCGGGCTACCCTTCTCTCCACAGGTTATCCTGAAGGACCTGGAGGTGCTGGCTGAGATCGCCTCTTCCCCAGCAGGACAGACAGAGGGTGCTGGTCCCTCTGATGGCTCGGAAGCTCGACCCAGCCTGGTGGAGCTGCACGTCCCAGCCAGGGCTGGCCAGCTGAGCTCTGGTGAGTGCCCCAGCTCTGGCCCTGCCCAGGCTCGCTCCATGGCACTGGTCAGCTTTGCTCGGGCAGAAGGAGAATCCTCTGTCCCGCCAGTAATTCAATATACCCATCCGCACCCAGCACCTCCTGGGGACCGAGTCAGCCAAAGAGCAGACAAGGGCACTGCTTTTACATTCATTGCTCTTGCCTCTGGCTCCCAGTTTGGAGATTTAGGACTCTTTGGATGCTCCCAGTGTGGAAGGGTGTCTTTCCTGTCCTGTTTGTTACAGGACCTTGGGTGTCAACCTCTTCTCTCCTTGTAAAAGCCCTCAGAGCCCGAAGATCGGTTTGGAATGCGATGCTGGATGCAAGCCCAGGTGTCCAGAATGTGGCTAGACCTGCAGAGAGTTCCCTCCGTGCGCCTGATGTTGCCCTTTTGGGGCTGCTCAGGTTGGCTGTGAACTCCGACATTGCTCTGAGCGTTTGGCAGGACCTCAGGGTTGAGTTGAAGAGGGCCCGTCCTATTTTGTGGAGACCTGAGGGGTTAAAAAAAAAAACTTAAAAGCCATTAATTCATTACCCTGGCACACAGGGAAGGGTTTTTTCCACTCTTCCCCTGTCTATGGCTCATCCCTTGCGTTTGCTTGGCTGCCCTTTCTCCTCCTCTGCTGCTATTTAAGGGCCTCCCTGTTGCACTCCGCAGGCCAGGTCGTCCCAGCCAAAAGCACGTTTCACAGCAGCTCTGGATCCCAACCCAAGCATGGAGCCAAGGCTGCCTCTCCCCACCACGGGACCTTGCAAATCCACCACCAGAGAGGGAGGCTTCGCTTCCACCCCCGGTTTTGTTTCCTCTGAAGATCCCAGATCTCTCACCCCTCCCTGGTTTTAGAAACATCTGAGCCAGCAAACCAGCTTTGGGTTTGTTTTTTTTTTTTTCAGGCTGGCAGCTTTAGCTCTTTAGTGTCAGAGGGGTGGGGGCTGCAGTGTGGGTGACCTCCCCCAACCCCCTGCAAGTCTCATCCATCCTCCTGGTGTCAGAAGTGAGACCGCCTGGGTGGAGCAGCAGCTGAGGAGCTGCAGTTCAGCTCCCGCTGATGCTCGGCTGAGGTTTCCTTCCTTTTGGAGGATCTAAAAATAGCAGGCTGGATGGCGTGGATCCTAACGGCTGCCGTGGCCCCTGGTAGCTATCTGGAAGAGCAACTTGGCTTCACTTCTTCAAGCGGAACATTTGAAAAGAGTCTGGCTCTCCTCACGTTGAGCAGATCTGCTGGAGCCAGAGCTCCCATTGCCCCCAGCATGGGGCAGCTTGCCCCCAGGCAGGTCCTAACTTGCCCCCAGGCAGGTCCTAAGGGGCTCTGGCTTCCTCACCTACTTACCTCTTCCTTGTTTCTTTGGAAATCTGCTTGGGGCTAAGATTTGCAGGATCGTTGGCTTTTAACCCAGGATGTTTTTTTGGGGGGGAAGAGGAGCTGGTTCCTTTCCGTCTGGCTCTGACCACCCAGGGCTGAGCCTGGGTCAGCTGCTGGGCTTCATCTCCCAGGGGAATCAAAGGGTCATAGCTGGGCCAGGACCCTCCTGGATTACCCCTGGAAAAGGCTCTTGGAAAAGCCTCTTTGTCAGAGGGTCGTTTAGGGGGGAGGTTTTTTGGAGCGGGAGGGTGGCTGGTAGAAATCCCTGTGTCTGTGCATGGCCCCCAGGCTGGTGTGTGCACCAATACAGCCCCTCCCAGGCAAAAACCATGAGGTGCTGGCATGGAAGAGAGGGTCTTCCCCTTGCTGGTTACTGGTTTGTACTGGGAGGGGTGGGAAAGCTTTCCCCAAGCACAGCTCCCCAGCTAGCGCACCTTGGCTAGTGCTTTATTGGCAGGAAGATGCTGTTGGACTGTGGTAGGGGCAGCTGCAGGGTACCAACACTTCTCCCCAGGGTTAAATTCCCTTCATCCCCCTTCAGCCTGAGATGCTATTGGAGCTGGCAGTGGGAGCAGAGCTGTGGAGCCACCTCAGGTCTCCTCCTCTCCTCACTCTGAGACCCACCCGAGCATACAGTTGGTGGCTTTGCAGATAAAGGAACGTGGATGACCCCTGAACCCTTGAGCTTGCAGCAAGTTTCCAAGCTGCACTCTCCATCTCAGGGCTCCAGGCTTTGCCACCCAAGCAGCAAGGGCAGGAGGGGAGGTGGAAGGGGCCGGTGCCCCCATAGTCTTCCCCCCCGCTTCCTCTCGCTGCCTTTCTTCCCTCAGGATGTGTTTATCCAGTTGTTTCCCTGCCATTGAGTTGGGTTTCCTTCAGATGCTGGTTGATTAGTCAGGAAAGTCGTGTCCTGCTTCCGCAGCCCGTTCCCAGCTCCAGTTTTTATTTAGCTGCTTTGTTCTCTAGTTACTATCGAGGTCAGCTGCCCTCGATGCCTTCTCCAAACACAATGACCTGGGGCCAGCCCAGCTCAGCACCACCTGGGAGACCCAACACATCTCCTTCCGACCTGCTCCAGCTGCCCTGGGAGAGACTGGCTGGGTGCTGACATCATCAGTTGTCTCCTTGCTTATCTTCTGCCCTCTTTGCAGGGACAAGGTCTGCAGGGCTGTGCTCAAGAGTTCCCCGCTCCTTGGGGTGATGGTGCAAGCACCCATCAGGTTTGTACGATGGGAATCCAGCTGCCTGCTTGGCCTTGGGAGTGTTTTGTTGGCTGTAGACGTCGGGATAAGTGGCAGATGATCCAAGGGATGGTTGTCATCAAGGCCAGCAGCTTGAGGGAGGGGATCCTGCCCCTCTGCCCAGCTCTGGGGCGACCCCCCTGCAGTGCTGGGGCAGCTCTGGAGTCCTCAGCACAGCAGAGACAGGGACCTGCTGGAGCGGGGCCAGAGGAGCCCCAGCAATGACCCAAGGGGGGAACCCCTCTGCTGGGAGTCCAGCAGGAGAGAGTTAGGCTGGAGCAGCCTGCAGAGGAGAGGCTCCAGGGAGACCTTCTGGGGTCTTTCAGTGCTCCAAGGAGCCTGTCAGAAAGCTGGGGACAGACTTTTGAGCGGGGTTTGTTGTGCAGGATGAGGGGTGATAGCTATAAATGAAGAGAGGGAGATTGAGACTAGAGAGAAGGAAGAAATGTTTGACACTGAGGGTGGTGAGCCCCTGGCCCAGGTCACCCAGAGAGGTGGTGGATGCCCCATCCCTGGAACCATTCCAGGTGAGGTTGGCCGGGGCTCTGAGCAACCTGCTCTAGTTGGGGATGTCCCTGCTCCCTGCAGGGGGGTTGAACTTGATGGCCTTGAAAGATCCCTTCCCACCCAAACCATTCTATGATCCTGGGACAGCATAGGTGCAAGCCCCTCCAGCCTAGTCTCCAGCTCTGCTCTTCAGGGGATAAGAAAACCCCCTCTCAGAGGATGCTGATACCATCTATGCTGCTTCACACAGGGTACCTCCTGCACACATCTCTTCCTTCCTTTCTCCTTAGCTTTGTAAGAAGTGGTTACAACCCTTTGCTTCCCAGGAGATGGTGGGGACGATGTGGGGACCCTCTGAGCACCTCACACTGTAGGATGTTGACTCCCCACTAACGTGCCCAAGGACATTGGTTTCCACCAGCAGTCCATGGATAGATATCCCAGGAGTTGGTGGATTACTCTGGAGGAGGCTCCTGAGAGTCCCTAGGAAACGCAGTCCCTTGATTTCACACTCTCTGTGTCCTCCCTGGAGAAGATGGAGTGCTCCAGAGCCTGGAGGGAACTCGAGATGTGCTGTGGTAGGGGTTTCCCTTCGACAGATTTCTGAAGGATTTTGTTTCCCTGAGCCAAACCACTCCCTTTATGTTGTCCCTCGCTTCATCTGTGTCACCACAGATCTGCAGAGGTGGCAGTGTAGGACAAGGTCCCACCTCCAGTCAGTCTGGAAGTCCTTAGGGCAGCCTCTGAAAACACCAGGTGAGAGTCTGTAGGGTGCAGGGGTCCTGTGAAAGGTAGGAAAGAAAAGGTGGCCCGTTGTCAGATGGCTCGGATCAGCTAAGCTGGTGAGGAGAAAAGTGAAACCTCTCCATGCTCATCTCGCCACAAAGGGCAAGGAGACAGCAGATGTCACACCACGGACCACTTGCTCTCAGAGGAGCTAGGTTCCATCAGCTTTCACAGGATCAGGAGTGTGGCAGCAGGGAATGAAGGAGCTGGGTAGGCAAGAGTGGAGAGACCTGGTTCTCCTGGTTGCTCTGAGCTCAACGCTCTGGTTCCTGTTGGTTGGTGGCTCTGTCATCTCCTTCCCTATCAGCATGGAGCTGTTCAGGTTGACTCAGAAATGCTCTTCTGCCTCTTGGAGAGGAGGGGAATTAGAAGAAAAGGGTGATTTGTTTCTTTTCCTGGATGCTCTGCAATGGCGGTGCTGGAATGCCATGGAAGACCGCAGGAGGAACAATCCAGACCATAGCCTTGGAGTCTCAGTCCCTCCTGGCATGGTTACAGAACATGGCTGGCCTGAAAAGCTTGAGATTCCCAGTTAAAAACAAGGATTACTGGTCTGCAAGGCCTGAGGCAGGAGCAGCTGATGGTGTAGATAAGATCTCTTCTAGCCAAACACCCTCTGGGTAGTTACTTCACTGGGCTGCCTCAGTTTCCCCAAGATGTTGCGAGGACTTTGGAGGGTGGGGAATGAGATGGAAGCAGTTAAGCTAGCAGAACGGATACTGGTGCAGCCTCAGGCCCCTCTAAGCTCACCACCAGGCTCCACCACTCCCAGTTTCACAGCTCTGCTGGGTATGTTCTTCTCCTCTACATTGTCTGAGCTATACCCTGGCTGCCTTTTTGCAGTTGTTTTTTTTTTTTTTTTTAAACTGCTGATTGCAGGTTTAGGTTGGATATGAGGAAGAATTTCTTTCCTGCCAGAGTGATGAGGCCTTGGCCCAGGCTGCCCAGGGAGGTGCTGGAGTCACCATTCCTGGAGGGGTTCCAAAAAGTGTAGATGATGCACTGGGGGCCATGGTTTAATGGTCATGGCGGTGTTGGTTTGATGGTTGGACCTGATGATCT